AAAAAAAAAAAAAAAAAAAAAAAAAAAAAAAACACCCAGATACTGTTTCTCAGCATGTGACCAGGGAATATATTCTATCAACACGCAGTAGCATCCTAAGAAAGAGTAAAAGGTGATATGGAGCAGGACCCTGTGGGGCTTCTGAGCACAAAAGCCTTTCTGTGTCCCCCATTTCTTTGATTAGGAAATAGACTTCATTCAGCCTCCAAGACCTTCCCTGAGTTCCAGCTGGGCAGGTTCAAACAGTTGTTAATTAGAAGGGAGGGGATGCAGGAGAAGGGAGGAGCAGTCAAGAGAAACAACAGTGCAGCCTTGGGGCAGGGTCCTGATTCCCCTCAAGGGATACACACACAGGACAATATCTTTGAGCTGTTTTGCAGATACTGAAACCCTCACTAGGTGGTAGAAGTTAACAGTGTGCTGCCCACTAGCTCGGAGACCCTAGATGGGTTGGAACCAGAAGGTTGATGATGTTGACTCCCACTTACCTCCCCACCATCCAATCAGAAGAATGTCCACAGGCTGATCACACCCTCTTTGAACCGTTATGATAATACTCCTCCCTACCCACCTCCAGGTTGGAACACACAGTTTTGATAGTATTAGCCTGCTGTTGCCTCCTTTGCCTGGCAAAGCAATAAAGCTGTTCTTTGTTACTTTACCCAAAACTCTGTCTCCGAGATTTAATTCCGTGTCGGGGTACAGAGGCTGGATTTGGCTTCAAAGGTGGGGTCAGGAAATAGGAAATCCAGTATAAAACAGGGCAATGGGAAGTCCTAGGATCATTCCTGAGTGGCATGTTTACTGGCAACCAGTCCAGATTGAAGCATGAGGTGACACAGGGGACTCCAGGAAAAGACACATGTGATACATCACTCTCCAGGGTTAGCAAAATGAGGATGGATAGGCAATTTATGCAACATGTGTAAGGTATTAGAAGATGAAATTATGTTTAGAAAATAAGCCAATAAAGAATAGGAAGTCACTAAAAGTTGTGAAATAATACTGAAAATAGTAAAAATGAATTTGAACAAACATTCAGATGTAATTATATTAGAAGGATAGGTAGAAAGGAAGAATGGGTTTAAGAAAGCTAACATGCTAACGATCCATAATAAAGCATAGAACAGTTCATGTCCACACCTTGTCTATGATTCTAGAGGTCTCATAATTTTCCTCCCTGAGCAGATGTTCTTCGTCACAAGTGGACAAACACAGTTCACACCTATAATTTTCCTTGTTGAAAAGTGTCATTTTGGAGAATAGAAGGAGTGTGAGCTAATAAAGAATTAACATGTGCTGGACCTTGGCAGTTAAGTGGCCTAGAGGCTGAGACAGCAGTTAAACTCCAATTTTAGAAAGAGATCAAAAAGATTTTAAGCCCTTGGATAGTCTACATAAATATTTCTCTATTTCCGAAGTCACATAAATGAAGAGACAGAGGTTTTCTCTTCGAGTTTGAACTCAGCTCTAGGCCTTTTAGAAACACTCATCTTGTTTCATAAACAATATTTTCTCATTTCCTTCATTTTAATAACCACGTTTCCCATGGAACATTGGGAGCTTGTATCAGTCTCAGCCTCTCTCACCTGTGAACCATATTTATTGAAGCCATACTTGGCTCTGGGATGTCTGTGATATAGAAATGAGAGAGAGAGAGAGAGAGAGAGAGAGAGAGAGAGAGAGGGACTGGGATTCCTTTGGGAGTATCAGAAAATACCTCGAAGACAAAGCAACTTTCAATTTGCAACATGTAAATTCGTGCATGTTTAAGTGAATTGAGCATTCAGTTTGAGAAAACAATTGTTCAGATGGTATCTCAAAGCAAATTTCTTTTGAGTTTGGGGAAGTAAACCCAGTGTATATCTGAGAGAAGAAACTTTGCTTGTGAAAGAGGAAGCCAGATGATGACTGGGTGAAAAGCATGGACAGATGTGCTGCCAACAAGAGGAAATATAAGCTGTGGGAGGGAAGTGTTAGTGCCATTATCTCTTCCTTTCAGTCAGAGGCATGGTTAAAACTCATCTTGATAATATTGCCCCCACCAAAAAAAAAAAAAAGACATTTTGTCATAGGCTTCAATGTCTACTAGTGTGAAAGATGAAAGAGTATGTCTATAAGGACCAAAAGTGAGGGCACAGAGATGATAAGCATCTCAGAAGGGGGTAAGAAGAAGATGCTGGTGAAAACTGAGATATGAGACAAGTTGAAGATCACGAGACACATCTCAGTTACTGATTTGCATGCTGCAAGTTTCTGTTGAAAATTCTCACAAAATAGCATTGTGTCCAAACACCAAAGACCATCCTCAATGTTCCCTGTCTACAACTCAAGTTTAATTTCTAATTATTCCCTGCAAACATAATGAACTATTATAGACTACTCCCAGAAAACACCATCAGCAGGCATTTTTTCAGGCCCTGTTTTAGCAGATGTGGTGTTAACTCCACTGAGGGAGAGGCCACTGAGGGAGAGGCCACTGAGGGACAGGCAAATGAGCGAAAACTCCTGAGGTTACCATTTGAAGTCTTGGCTGAAAATGTGAACCTTCTCTGGGAATCTCTTACTTGACTTCTACATACCCTCTAAGAGGTAGAACTGTACCTCCTCCTGTGTGTTCCAGCAGCCTCTGACATGTTGGTAATATATTATTTATCTTTGTTCTACTCTGCCAGATAGTGAGCCAGACAAAGGCGGGGACCATGGTGTTCATCTCTGCATGCTCAGAGATAAGAGCAGTGCCTGACATGGAGCATTTTGAGGAATGTCCCTTTTGGAGGAATGTGTAAGTGAATGAGTTTCATTAACTCCAACAACATACTGGTCAGGTCCACCAATTCTGGAAGACACAGTGGGAGGATGGCATGTGGGTTAATACATTTTTGTTATGAAAGGTGTGCTAATATATCTTTTAGTGTCCCCTGTTCACACAAACATCTTAAATTTCTTGGAGAAAGAGAAGAAATTTGTATCACAAACCAGAGAGACAACACAGATGCACAGAGGTAAAATTTGTAGTATCTTTATAGTTTAATAAAGAGCCATTCAAGATTATGTCTATAATCAAACTGAAATAAAAGAGTCCCAAATCTGTATATTCATTTTGCTATGGTCTAGCTAGATATGCTATTAAAATAAGCACGTCAGTTTAGCTCCGACCCTAATTTAGGCATACTGCTCAGGCCAAGGCTGCTTAGATCTACTCATAGAATTTGTTATGAAGTTCATGCTCCTCAGTGTTTCCATAGACCCATCCTTGCCATCACAAAAATCAAGGCAGTAGAGAGTCAACCTATCCTTTTAGTAGACAACGGAGTCTTCAGTGTGAAAACTTCTTAGCTTTCACACTATCAGGAATGGTTCCCAGGCCTTAGAACTCTGCCTGTCCGGTTTCTGAGACCATCTGCTACAAACAGCCACATAAACACTGTCCAAAAGACAGGAAGAAAGAGAAAGACAATAAATATTGAAGTCAAGGACAAATCCAGAGATTCAGAGACTAAGACACACTCATACTTGCAAACTGTGCTTCAGCCTTAGATCACATGTGAAGCCAAGTCTTGCAAGGACAATTGGAGAACTTCTGGCATAGGAATGGCTGAACCAGGTCACAAGCAGAGAAAGCACCAGGAGAGAAGCCAATCTCTTTATGTCCTGCAGTTCTCTCTCGCCTTCTCAGTCCCCGCTAAACCGACTCATTTTTAGGTTCTGTAAATCCTACTGGTTTCAGGCAGAATTATCTTCCAGGAGTCTCAAATTTCCCCATTTCACTCTCATCCCTATTCAGTAGCCCACTCAGTTTTGCTCTTCCTTATAACAAGAAAAGCCCTATTGATCTTAGCCAGGAAAATTATCTTTCTGACCAATGTCTTAAGCATGAAGATAGTTATCAGTGTCATGAGTCAACCCATCTTAACTGACCATCCGGAGACTCTGTGAGAGGGACCCCACCAAGGCTCATTGTAACACTGCTCTTCACCACCATCTAGCTCAGTTAATGAAAAAATGGACACAGAAATTGGGAGCAGAACAGATCTTGCTCTCCCAAACCCACAAGAGCCCACCAGGTAGGTGCAGGTTATTATTTTCTTCTATTTCCAGTCACTTAGTGAACCAGAGATAGTCACAGTGCTGGGGAGATGCCAAATCATGAACATAGGCATGGACCCATCAGGTTTAACTAAAATACAGAGTATAAAGAAGTTATTTGCTATACTTTTTCACTAGTTCTCTCTGGTTGATGGGGAAGAAGGTTTTTACTTAGCTTTTAAATTGGGAACAACTTAAGTTTTCTAACAAAAGAGGTTCATATTCTGGGTATGGGGTAGGGGAGTTTGTGTTGGTTTGGCCAATTTTCTGTACGATGTTACGGGAAAAAATCGAATGAACTTTTTGGCCAACCCATACTATCAGTAGAGATCTCTTGCCTATGTGTCTGATGTGTGTTAAGGGACAGAAGCTTTTCAAAATGACCTTGGGCTTCTTTCTGGTTAGTCTTTGTGAATCTCAAGCTGTGTGATCCTGCCCCACTGTTTAGAGGGGAAATGTTCCCAGAGTGAAATCTGGTGGAGATGTGCAGAGTCTAGTTTTCCTTCGAATACCAAAAATTAACACATGTTAAGACTTTCTTCTTAAAGGTTTTAGGAGAAACTAAAGACAGAGCTTTGGGAATCAATATTGGATTGAATATCATTGCAAAATATTGAGTAGACTCTGAAGACACAGTATTTCCAGTTAGCCTCCTCTGAGGATGAAAACAGGAATAGAGATCAACAAATCCTTCAAAAACCATTCCTTTATGCACATGAAATTGAGTGTGTCATTGACAAAATATTTTCAGATACATTTCTATGTTAAAAAGACTGAGAGATGCATAGGTAAACATGTCTGTTGGATGGTTTTTGGTTGTACGCATCAATACAGATTAATGAGAAAGAACCTGGTAATAATTCTAGATTAAGAATATGACTTGGGGGCTTCCCTGGTGGCGCAGTGGGTGAGGGTCCACCTGCCGATGCAGGGGACACGGGTCCGTGCCCCGGTCCGGGAGGATCCCACGTGCCGCGGAGCGGCTGGGCCCGTGAGCCATGGCCGCTGAGCCTGCGCATCCAGAGCCTGTGCTCCGCAACGGGAGAGGCCACAGCAGTGAGAGGCCCGCGCGCCGCAAAAAAAAAAAAAAAAGAATAAGACTTGGCCTGGGTTTTTTTGTTTTTGTTTTTTTTCCCTTTTGTTCCATCTAATCATTGATGAGACAGTAATCTTGGCCACTAACTTGGACCCTCTGAGTCTCAGAATTTCTTGTACTTTACAGTGAAGATTTTCATTGCAGGATTGTTTTGAAACATAAACAAGCACAATTCCCCTGTCAGTTGAGAGCTTTGCACAGGGAGTTAGAGAATTTTCTCATGGCTGCATTTCTGTTTAAACTTCATAGTGCGCCTGAAATTGAACTTTCAGTAGTACCTCTCCATGATACCAACTTACTGGAGAAAGCTGCCCCATCCCCACCACGCCAAACGTGGCTGACTCTTTTGAAGAAGGAGCTGGAATTCCTGGGGGTGAGTGAGCCTCCTCTAATCTCAACCAGAGTAAAGACTGGCTCTAAGAAAGTGTATCTGTTGGCATCCACATAGTTTCCCCACTCAGACTCAAGAGGAGTGAAACACCTGGTAGACAAAAACTTGACACTTACTGCACCCTGTTGGGTAAAAAGAAGCATTTCCTCATGAAGACTAGGATAAGAATAGCAAATAGGATCTGTCAACTCTGGTCAGTTGCCAGTTGATGAATATCATCCTGTGAAGGATTTATAATCTTTATCTTCTCTTAGATGGAAAGAGCCATTATTGAGGTCCACCATGAGAATGTAAATAAAGACACAGGAGAAATGTACTGGCCATTCCTGCATTAAGTCGTGCCTACATAAATTCTTAGAGTGGCCAGATGATAGTGGAAAATATTGCATTTGGATACTTTCTCAGGACTGCCTAAGACACCAAAGCAATTTCTTACATTTTGCCTTGATTATAAGGAAATTGATATAATCTTAGGAAAACGTCTTCTTATTTCACAAAACTTATGCATTTTTCTACAGGTAACACAAATTCTGATTAGTTCGATATGCCTTTATTTTGGAATAATCGTCTGCTCCGTGTTCAATAATTCAGAATTTAACGAAGACTTTATTTCATCATTTAAAGCAGGCTACCCATTCTGGGGAACAGTATTTGTGAGTATATGTCTACAATTGTCTCTGAAATAACACTGTACATGGCTTTTCTTTTATTCAGATCAGATCTGACCAATTGTTTATTCTAGTATTTAGAATATATGAATATATTCTAATATGTACATGGAGATATGTAAATATACATACATATTTGCAGTTTACGAAGCACTTTGGGTTGACTATGCTAACACACGTTTATCAGATGAGAAACCTGGGATTAATAAAAGTTAAATATATTACCCAAGAGGCATTTAGCTAATAAAAATTGAAACTAAACTTTCAGAACTCAATTTCAGAAAAATTTCCCTAACACTATCCATCAATAAAGTTATCTTAGTGAAGGGAGGCGGAAGAGATTGCTGAGGTGAGGAGAACAAGACTGACATCTGAGGAACTTCTACTGTGCCCTAGAAACTCTTTTTTTTTTTTTTTGCGATACGCGAGCCTCTCACTGTTGTGGCCTCTCCCGGACGCGCAGGCTCAGCGGCCATGGCTCACGGGCCCAGCCGCTCCGCGGCATGTGGGATCTTCCCAGACCAGGGCACGAACCCGTGTCCCCTGCGTCGGCAGGTGGACTCTCAACCACTGCGCCACCAGGGAAGCCCCTTAGAAACTCTTTTAGGTGCTCTCTCATTGTATCTTTTTTAGTCATTGTACTATTTAGAAACTAGATGGCTGACTGAGCTCACAAAAATATATAGCTTTATTGAAGTATAAATGACATACCATAAATGGCACATTTTAAGGTGTACAATTTGATAAATTTTGACACATGTATACACACGTGAAAACCTTACCACATCAATATAATGAACATACTCATAACTGCCAAAAGTTTCCTTGTTTCCCTTGGTAACCCTTCCCTTCCTCAACCCCTATCTTCCCATCCTTAAGCAATCACTTGTTTTTTGTCACTATAGATTAGTTTGCATTTCCTAGAGTTTTATATAAATGGAATTATACACCATGTTCTGTCTACTGTCTGGCTTCTTGCACTTGCATAATTATTTTCAATTAATCCATGCTGTTTTTTGTATCAACACTTCATTCACAAGGATATATTATTTTAACCCTAATCACATTGGCTTGGCACTCTGCTAGATACTTAGGTCTCTGGTCACTCGTTCAAGCCTCTCCTTGAACCTTTGCCATATTTTATTTGAAACTTCCTAACTGTCTTTTCATTTCAAACAGCTTATTAGATGTCTCTCAACTCATCATACAATCTGAATCTTTGGAATTTTGTTTTAATTTGTGCTATTGGTTGATATCTTCACTAGATCTTTCACCATATGCATTTTCATAATTACTGTATGTCTATATGATACATGGCAGACTCTGGAGACAGACACATGTTTCTGGCCCAAAGGAGTTGACAACTATGACACACAAGTTGCTCATGAAAGCAAATGATTACAAAAAAAATTAGAGTAGTGTTATAATCATGCACCAGGGCTGCTGGAACTTACAATATTTAATAGTGACCCATGGACTGTCAGGGTTGGCGTCACCTGGGAGCCTGCTAGAAATAAAGAATCTCAGGCCTCATCTAGGACTAACTGAGTAAGAATTTTCATTTTAACAAGACTCTCATATAATTCATATGTACATTTAATTTTGAGAAGCTCTCTATCGGAAATAAAAAATAAAATAATAAAATTTAAAAGTAAAGGAGAGCTTTATAGAATACCCGCAGCTTTACCTTGTATTTGGAGGATGGGGGTGAAAGGGACACAGAGAAGAACAGAGACCCACTGTGCTATTTTTTTTTCCTCCTCCCTTTTGAACAGTTTGCTATTTCTGGATTTTTGTCAGTTATGTCTGAAAAGAAACATGCAACGTATCTGGTGAGTTGCATTCTGTCTTTGTCCATCCTTGAGAAGGTAAGAAAAATCTAATTTTGAGAGTCTTGAAAAAGATACGTTGTCATCTCTTATGAGCGAATGTGGATATGTGATATTTTTCCAGTCTACTTTGTATTTAATGTAATCGCTAAAAACAAAATCATTAAAATACCAAATGTATCATTTAAAAACAATAAATGTAACTACTCTGACACTTGCTGAAAAAATATCCTCACACCTTCTCTGTCCTCATAATATAGTCCTATGATCAAATAAGGAGTCTATTTGAGGAGAGACTATGAGTATCCACGTGGCTTTTCCTGAATGCAGTCCTAGCAAGAAAGTTATAGGTCCTTATTACACAAGTACATTTTCAAGATTTCCCTTTTTCATCTATATTTGAAATAAATGCAGAGTTTATTGGATCTATCCAGCCCTGAAATACAGATAGGTTTATTGAATACTGTGGCAGGTGCAGGACCAAGTCTAAATGTTGTTCTCTGTCATCAGATACGAGGAAGTCTGGGAGCAAACGCTGTCAGCAGCGTAGCTGGAGGCATAGGAATCATCATCCTGATCATTCACCTAAAGAAGAGCTCAGCTTATATCTACCGTTGCCGGGATGTTTATGACAACGACTCCTGCTTTCTGGCTTCTATTTCCACTGTAGGTATTTCTTGTGGGAAGACTAAGATTCTGGGTCTTAACCTCAGTAAGACGCCTTCTTTCCCTTTCCATGAACACAATCCTTTCTTGCAACCTCCATCACATAATGCAGTGTTCTGGAGGCTCATACCCAGAGATGGGCCGGCCTCCTTCCCCTGCCCCCCCCCCCAGCTGAATTCTGCAGGGGTGGAGTCATCTGCTTTGAGTAACCACATCTCCTGGTTTTCCCATGTGTCATTTTATAGGAACTGGTCTTGAGGGTGGGTGGTCATGAAAACAAGGGTTGCTGTAAGGGAATGTACTCCTGGGACACCTACCTTGTCACTCTACTTGTCTTTCTGGTTGTTGTTGGTTGTTATTCAACAGGAAATTGTGGCAATGATCCTGTTTCTCACCATTCTGGGGTTTTGCAGTGCTGTGTCACTCACAGTCTATGGGATTGGAGAAGTAATTGAAAGAAATAAGGTAGGCAGAGGCCTGATATTAAATCCTAAACAATAAGCTAAAGAATTTGAGCTTTGTTGCTTAAAAATACGGCCTGGGTTTCCTGCAACATTTCTTGCAGTTTCAGTATTCCATTTCTCCAAGTTTCAGTACTTTGGTTTCCAAATCTCAAGTTTTGAATCAAATTTTCCACTCACAAATCTCATGGTATATTCCTGTGACTGAGAAGTTTAGGAAAATAGGATCTTCATCATTTTAGAAAATGTAGATGCTTTGAAGTTGATGAGCATGAGAGATGAATATACAGGTAGCAAGTGATGGAAACACTCAGATATCTGGGCTTATTTGCTTTCCCAGAATAGTTCTGTTATATTTGTTCCTGATCTCTTTTTTCTTGGCTTTCACCTTCCCACTTGCTCTGAAACCTCAAGCTTGTCTCCTCCCTAATTCATGACTACCAACTGCATTTCCACTTGTCTTACCCATTTTACATCTTTGATGTATGAAAAAGAATTACCAATACCTGATGCACACACATTTACTCAGATCTTCCAGATAAAACATGCTCTCTCCATCTGTCCACTTGCCTGAAGCATTCAAGTCTGGCTGCCTTTTCTGATCACTTTCCTCCAGAGATAAGACAGGAGATATACCAAATTCCAAACACAAAATCATCTCACCAGCTTCTCAATGACTGACAATTTCTTCTGAGCCCACTTGGCCAGACAATCTGGCTTGGTTTGTTAGAGATGGAGGTATTAATTACAGTGTAATGGGAGATGGTGAGATTCAGAAAGGCAAAAGGAGATGAGATATGCCTCTTAAGAAAGTCTTCTCGTGGCAAGAAATTCTTGGTGATTGATACTGAATGATTTCTTCCCTCATCAGATTCCAGAAGATCGTCTTTATGAAGAGGTAAACATCTATGCACCAATCTACAGTGAGTTGGAAGATGGAGGGGAGGCAACTTCTCCCACTGATTCATAAGAATCATGAGTCCGGAACATTCTGATTCATAGCAAAGGATCTAGAAAGCCAAGATCTTTGTTTAAGGGATGACTGGCAAAATTTCAATTTTCTGTGACCTGCCAATTTTACATTATGATCTATTCTCCAGATGACAAGACTCTATTTTTGTTTCCATTCACTTAAATCCCCCTCCATTTGTAAATACGAAAGACTCCTATTTTTCTTGTTTTCCATTGCTGTTTCACACCCATCCCTTCTGGGACGTCAACAAAAAACAAGAAAAATAAGCATTTACTCTGTGCCTAGAACTGTGCAAATAGAGAAAACAAGAGGAAGGCTGGTTGAGAGTTGAGTTAAACTTAACAGTTTGGTAATATTTGTCTCTTAGCCCCTTTTAGAGTTTACAAGAGCTGCAGATGTATGTGATATATGCCCCCCACCCCTACGGGATTATAAGCACCTTGAGGGCAAAGTCCACTCAGCAAACATAAACTGAGAACCAACTAAGTAAAGTTTTTCACGTCTGTCTCTTTCACTTTGTGTATCCCAGTATTTTATCCATAGTGGGTGCTCAGTGTGAATTTATGGAGTGTAGGGGTGAATATTCAGGGAGGGTATATCACCAGATCAAGACAGAGGTAGGGTAGAAAAGGAGAAAGAAATGATTCTGAAGGGAATTTGGAGGTGATAAGAAGGCCAAATTGACATATATTAAGAATAGAGTTAGGAGGACAGTCAGATGGAGGTTTGAATACAGATTCTTCAGGCATGTATTAAACATTTTGGTGGCTCTGCATCAGGTTAGCAATGGGTGCTTCCTGCTTGTGTTTGGTCTTATATGGACAAAACAACGTGGTATGTTAGAAGGATCACTGATCTTATAAAGCGCAGGGAGTCTGCATTGGAATCTCAGGCCTATTGCTTATTAGTTGAGTGAGTTGTGGCAAATCATTTAACCTTTTACTTAATCTGGGTTTTCTCGTCAGTAAAATTAACATATTAGGAATAATTTACCCACCAGTGCTAAAAGTGTGTGTGGAAACACACACACACACACACACACAGTATAAATTAAAAGTGCTCTAAAAGAGAAAGAAATTATTAAAAAATTAATTAATTCTTATATACATAAAGCAATCTACAAATCTTAGTATTCGCTAATGATATAAAATTTAAGTCCATTTTATCTGAAAGGCTCCACTTTTTTTTTTTAAACAAAAATTTAATCCTAAGAGCCAAATCTGTCAAGAGTAGTCAGTGAAAACAAAGCCACATTGCTCAATGAAATCAGCTATGTTAAACGACAACAAAAATTTAACCAATTCTATATGAAAAAAAGTATGTCATTACCTTTGAAATAATTGTGTCCTCCATATGTTATTATTATTGTTATTATTTTTTACAATAGGTCCTTGTTGGTTATCTATTTTAAATATAGAAATGTGTACAGGTCAATCCCAGACTCCCAATCTATACTTCCCTTCCTCACTGGTAACCATAAGCTGTCTTAAAGTCTCCACTTTCTAAACCCACGTCACTTTCTCTTTAATATGCTTTGTGCTTGACCACCTCATGTCAACATCCTAGCTTCAAATGTTCTGCCTTCCCTTTTGTGCTTGCTTGAATTTCTTCTTTCTGTAATGCTTATCTTAAATCTCACCTGATTCTTTAAGTTTTTCTAGTTTTGCTCCTCTCTCTAGGAGATAACTTTTTCTAATCAAATACACACACCCCTTATACTCTATATAACACTCTATATGCAAATATTTTATGTCCCCTCAATGACAATATATATTTTTTCAAAGGCAAAAAGTCTCATAAAAATCTGTATATTGCATGAATCACCAACACATTCACTGACACAATATTGTTCAGTAGTGTTTGCAGGTTGATGAATAAGCAGCAGGGAGTTTTATTAAGTTACTCAGTATCTGGTGAGATGAAAACCATAATGGAGAGATCACTTAATGAAGAACTTGAAAGAAGAATAAATTAATGAAGACATGAGCTAAAATGAAGCCAGTGGAAATGGAGAGAAATGATTGTGTCTAAAACATGGAGAGAAAGAGTAATTGGTCTTCTTGCTAACAAGCTGAATTAAAGGATAAAGTTAGAGAAGCAACTGGTTGATTAACACATTATGTGTTTAAGTCTAAGATCAGAGAACAACGGGTAATGTTGAAAGAAATGATAGGAAGTGAGAAATATGAATTAATAAGTGAGGAGTACAGACAGACCCAGATTAAGTTCAGTTTTAGACTGTCATTTTTAGGAGACCAAAGAGAAAATGCAACTTAAGAGTGCCTGGTGGTATCCAATGTAGAGTGCTGGTAAAGATGGAATTTGGTAATAGAGATTTAGTGTTGTTATAAGAGAGAGCATTATTAAATGAAGCAGATTAACATTCTAAGAGAATTATTTTGAGATAAAAGTAAAGCCAAGTTAACCTGTACATGCCTGTAATCAGAGGGGAAAAGGAGAGAAAATATCTAAGGTAGACTATTAGAGAATTAGGCAGAAAAATGCACTGTGGACCAGTAGGTAGCAGGTAGCCCAAAGTAGAGAGAGGTTAGACAACAGAGAATAAATAATCATCAGAGACAGTATCTGCTGACTTGGGTAAGAGAAAAGTCTATAGTGATAAATCAATTCCAGTTAAGATGTAGAAATCAGGCAAAGAAATAGCAGTAGTGAATGAATGAAAAAGGTGCAGAGAAATTCAAAACAGGGTTATGGTGACGAGTAAATGAATAAAATATTTGCAGAGGTATTTAGAGAGAGAGAATGGTGGCATACGTGATGTAAGAAATAAAGAGAGGAGACTGTGAATAGAAGATAACGAAGAAAAATTAAGTTCAGCCAAATGATTTTGTTGTTGTTGATATTTTTATTTTTAAGAGAAGGAAAGAGTAGTTTACACCTTTAGCCTAAGTAAAAGAGTCCTGTGGAGGGACTGAAAAAAATCAGCTGGGGGTATTATTCACAAATTAATTACTAAAATAATTAAGTACATTTTATTTATTTGGGATGCCAAAATTAAAAAGTGATAAGTAGATGTTAATTTCCCCAGATTATGAAAGTGATCACCTAACCACACAACCAATGACTTAAGTGAATTGTCATGTTTTTCTGACCTCAGGACCCTAGGTTTTCTATTTTCATTTTTCTGAAATTAAAATTTTGTTTCTCCAAACTTGACAGCAGCATAAAAATATACCCTTTCACTGCATAGCTGTATCACCATACTTGACCATCTATAATCACATCACTTTCATGGCATATGTATTCGAATCCAAACTCCTAAACCTGGCCCACCAGGACCTCTAGAAGCGAATCCAGTCTATCTTCATACTGGGTAATATTTTACACCATTCTTTCCCCGACTCAGTTGATGTTTTAACCACATCTTTGACTGTATTTCTATATACATCACACATTTTTTTGTCTCAAGATCATTCTGATGATTGTTCTGCCCCTGCCTGCTTTTTATCATATGCTCACTTCAGGCACACACTGAGAACACAAATAGCATGCTCTTCACATATTTAGTGCCCCAAATTATCTTTTTAAAAATGTCAACCTAAAGGTTATCTTCTCCATGAAGATTGCCTAATGCACACATATTCATCCAGCCATAAGATCCTGCTTCATAATCACTTTACCCCATGACTCAATTTATTATCATGTATTATTAGTATACTTATAACCTCTTTGATGTATCCTCAATCACTGGTATTTGTTCAATAAATCAGAATCATTTAACTTGATTTCTTGTCTGTGTGTGTACATGAGGGTGGGGGACTGATCAAGGATAATTGGGAATCAAAGCATCAATTCAGTGATGCTAAGGACCAAGAACAGTTTCTGGAATCCTCCTTTTAAACAATGCTTTATCAAATGGGATAATCTATAAACAACCCCCTAGACAGAAAACAGATTGTAAAAAGAATCATCAGCCATCTCGTCAATAAATGGTAGGATAAAGTTGAAAGGAACCTGGACCATGAGTCCCATTTTACAAGTTAGCCCTGACTCTAATTTATTTGTTATGCTATGTGAACTTGGGACCGCCTTTTCCCTTCGAGGACCTCAGTTTTTCCATCTGAAAATGAGCATTTTGGAACAAAAAAATCCCAGCTGAACTTCCTGCTTCCATATTCCCTGCTTTTAGATACTTAAGATTGTTGGTAATCACAATTACTAGGTTTGTGACTGGGATAGCAACAGCAATCAGAGTTATCTGATGCTATTTGATGTATGGTCCAGCAAGACATCTGGGACAATAACATTCATTCTAAACTCTCCTGACAAAAGCTAATCAAAGGTCTCTTTCTAAAAACTATCTCAGAAAAAAACATTCCCAAATAATTCCCATTCTATGAGGTATGGCTCTACTTACAAAAAATTCTAATAAAACAGGGTACCATATTCATAATTTCAGCCTGGTTTAGAGTATTGAAGTAAATTTATATGTACAAGGGTGTGAGAGGCCATTGGTAGTCACCATCTGTGTTTCATGAGTATTTCCCATCACTGGAAAACCTCTGCTCACTCCACAAACAGTTAAGTGGGCTCAACTTTACGTCTCCCAAACAACTTTCATCTGGGACCCCCTGCATAGGGTTGTGTTGAACAACACTGCGGGGCAGCGAGTGTTTAGAATGTGAACGTGGAACGTAATATACCCAGAAGCAATTTGTAGATACTAGCTCTATGATCTTGGATAACCCTTTAAATTTTATCTCAGTTCATTTTTCTCATCTATTAAATGGGTTATATTACCTATAATTACTTCAAATGTACTATGCATGGTCATAGATCATGTAGTCAGTGCCTAGACTGGTGTATGGGACATATTTTTGCATGAATAAATATTGACGCCTAATCCTGAACCTACCCCAGCTCCTCAGGAGCCCTTGACAAGAGGTACCAATACCTTGTTATTCCTGGTTGGAGGAAGTGGTTATGGGACCATGGAAGAGACCGGGGAAGGTGGTCTATGGAAGGAAGCTATGAATATGCTGTGAATCCTGCCTTTTAG